TTTAATATAAAATACAAGTTCATAAAGGTTAATATAAGTTAATATAAGTTAATTCAAGTCAATACAAGTTCGTATAAGTTAATACGAGTCGATACAGGTCTATACAGGTCAATACCTAGGGTTAGGGTTAGGGTCAGGGTCAGGGTCAGGGGTTAGGGTTAGGGTTAGGGAGTAGCTGGAAGGCAGATTGAAATCAAGAAGAGTAGGAGTCCGACAGTCAGTTGCAAAGAATCAAACTGTTTCGCCTGGCTCTTCAGGGACTCGTACGGCGGCTAGGTATTATATACCTAGGCTTCGGCGTAAGCTCGGTATAGGCCGAGTAAGTCATACAATCAATACCCTTGCTCATCCGTAAACCCTAGTCCTCGATCTGAGGGATTTATGCAAGTGTATCAATATCGAAGGATTCGAGTTATATTAATCGCGCAAACTTAGATTAGACGCGCGGCTTTTTAAGGTTTCGTATATTTAATACGACGATAAGCGTGCATATATGCGCGCATGCGCGCATATATGCGTGCATAAAGTCTATTAAATACTTCGCCAAGGTAGGCTGTGCACTTAGTTAGCAAAGTGTTAAACTTTAACTTTGACGTTCCGAGTAAACCTTGCGGCGTAGCCAGATACGACAAGCGAAAGTATATACGCGATGCTATTAAGTCTACGGTTTATATATATGACCCGATATCCCCTTCTATTGTATACTATAGCAGTATGCAAGGGGCGAGATTCTTGATTGTCGCTTCTTATTCCTTTCATCGAAGGTATTGCGCCGTTTCTATCGTGAGCTTCACTTCTTTTCTTAGGTCAGTTTTCCCCTTGTATTGAGTGACTCTACGGTTCTGCTTGGTAGTGCTAACGGGACCCTTAAAAATAGGTTCTTTCCGAAGGTCTCCGAAGAAGTCTCGCAAATACCTCGAAAGGTATTCGCTTTCTCGTAAGTCCCCTTCTCTCAAGGTAGTCTCCGTAAGCAATGACCACGTGAAGTTTCCAAGGCTGACTAATGTAGTAAGGTAAGCTCAAACCAGGGTCCGGGTTAAGGTTCTGGTTAGGGTCAGGGTTGGGTTAGGTTTAGGGTTAGGGGTTAGGGTAAGGAAAAGGTTTGAACTTCTCACTTTCCTAGAGCCCTTTAACCTTTTTTGTTCCTATCTTGTATTCTTGTCTCGATAGATCGTATTGGAATCTATTAAAATATAATATGGCCGGCGTCTATTAGTTAGCGAGGGCGTTATTACTACCCTTGCTACTCGTCACCGACGTCATCGCACCAACGCTTTTCAGCGCTACGGGCGTCGAGCCGCTTATTACTTAGGTAGTATACAAACGCGCCTCGCTTTTAACAAGAGTAGACAGCTCTCGTACTTCTTTTCAGAGGTCTAAACTGAAGTTCAATAATAAAAGAAATCGCTAAGAATACGGCGTTTCGAGTATTATATTCCTTCTTTCGGCTCATACGCATTTAATAGCGTTAAATTATGGAGATTGAAAGAGTCGTATAGACTTCTCCCCCGCTTTAGCGAGGTTACGATGTTATCCAAGGGGTTAGGGTTAGGGTTAGGGTTAGGGAGTAGCTGGAAGGCAGATTGAAATCAAGAAGAGTAGGAGTCCGACAGTCAGTTGCAAAGAATCAAACTGTTTCGCCTGGCTTTTCAGGGACTCGTACGGCGGCTAAGTATTATATACTTAGGCTTCGGCGTAAGCTCGATATAAGCCGAGTAAATCATACAATCAATACCTTTGCTCACCCGTAAACCTTAGTCCTCGATTTGAGGGATTTATGCAAGTGTATCAATATCGAAGGATTCGAGTTATATTAATCGCGCAAACTTAGACTAGACGCGCGGCCTTTTAAGGTTTCGTATATTTAATACGACGATAAGCGCGCATATATGCGCGCATGCGCGCATATATGCGTGCATAAAGTCTATTAAATACCTCGCTAAGATAAGCTATGCACTTAGTTAGCAAAGTGCAAAACTTTAACTTTGACGTTCCGAGTAAACTTTGCGGCGTAGCCGGATACGATAAGCGAAAGTATATACGCGATGCTACTAAGTCTACGGTCTATATATATGACCCGATATCCCTTTCTATTGTATACTATAGCAGTATGCAAGGGGCGAGATTCTTGATTGTCGCTTCTTATTCCTTTCATCGAAGGTATTGCGCCGTTTTTATCGTGAGCTTTACTTTTTTTTTTAGGTTAGTTTTCCTTTTGTATTAAGTGACTTTACGGTTCTGCTTGGTAGTGCTAACGGGATCCTTTAAAATAGGTTCTTTCCGAGGGTTTCCGAAGAAGTCTCGCAAATACTTCGAAAGGTATTCGCTTTCTCGTAAGTCCTTTTCTCTCAAGGTAGTCTCCGTAAACAACGACTACGTGAAGTTTTTAAGGCTGACTAATGTAGTAGGGTAAGCTTAAACCAGGGTCCGGGTTAGGGGTCTGGTTAGGGTCAGGGTTGGGTTAGGTTTAGGGTTAGGAGTTAGAGTAGGGAAAAGGTTTGAACTTCTCACTTTCCTAGAGCCTTTTAACCTTTTTTGTTCCTATCTTGTATTCTTGTCTCGATAGATCGTATTAGAATCTATTAAAATATAATATGGCCGGCGTCTATTAGTTAGCGAGGGCGTTATTATTACCTTCGCTACTTGTTATCGACGTCACCGCACCAACGCTTTTCAGCGTTACGAGCGTCGAGCCGCTTGTTACTTAAGCAGTATATAAACGCGCTTCGCTTTTAACAAGAGTAGACAGCTCTCGTACTTCTTTTCAGAGGTCTAAACTGAAGTTCAATAATAAAAGAAATCGTTAAGAATACGGCGTTTCGAGTATTATATTCTTTCTTTCGGCTTATACGCATTTAATAGCGTTAAATTATAGAGATTGAAAGAGTCGTATAGACTTCTCCCCCGCTTTAGCGAGGTTACGATGTTATTTAAATCATCGAAATCCTCGGTAGACATTTTTCGCAAGATGTCTTTTAGCGGACCAATACGTATATATTCTTATACTGGATTATACTCGAAGGGGAGTATTAGCTTAGGGATAGGCCGCTCGATCACCTTAAGGGTCTCGCTAAACCATTCATTCAGCATCTTTTGAGGATAACCTCGTCTCAAAAGATTCAAATACAATTTGCGTTTGCACGCTTTTGCTTCTTCAGGTCGTGTGCAAATTGTATTATATCTCACTCGCTCGGCCTTAACGAAGGCTCTCTTGGTTGCAAAAGGGTGAGCACTGGAGAAGGGAATATACATATGACGATTGAGTGCTTTCTCGTAGATTCTCGTGACCAATCGATCTTTTACGATTAATAGCTCAACGTTCAGAAAGTGAGCTGAATGTTTAGAATATTCTTACGTAATATTTAAGCCTAGTAGCTTCTATTCGCTTAACCAGGTGTTCAGCTCGCTTTTTGTGCTTTTATAGATAAGACAGACATCGTTAATAAAGCGACCGTAGAATTTAATCTTATTGTTGCGATATTTGAAACGACCTTTTTCGTACAATCCGCAATAAAGGTTTGCTAAAATCGAGGCGCAAGCGACGCTTATAGCTAAACCATTGCGTTGTTGGTAGATCTTATCTTGGCATTTAAAGAAGTTATTTAATAAGACGAATTCCATCATCTTCGTCAAATCACTCTTCCGAATTCCTTTCGACGCTCGTCCGATTATTGTTTTAATCGAATCGATAGCCCGAAAAGGGTCTATATTGGTATACATGGCTGTAACGTCACCCGTTACAATCCAGCACCCGTCGAAGGAATCGACCTTTTTAATCTTTGTTAAGAAATCTTGTGTCGAAGTCAAAACGCTTGGAAAGTTAGGGTTAGGGTTAGGGTT